GGGGGGGGCGTCCTTAGGCCCGGCAACGGGCTCATGTGGGTGCCCGGCGGGGTGTCCCAGCGCCGGCTGGGCTCGTGTGGCGGCCCGCTGCGGTGACCTGGAGCCCAGCGTGATGTCCTGGGACCCGGTGTTTGCTTGCAGTGGTGCCCAGTGGGGTGACCTGAAGCCGAGCATGTGCTTGTATGGTTGCCCAGTGTAGTGTCCCGGTTTCTGCTGGTATGGGTGCCCAGTGCGGTGTCCTGGTCCCCAGCACACACTTATACTCGTGCCTGGTGCAGTGACCTGAAGCCCAGCATGTGCCCGTCTTGGGTGCCCGGCGCGGTGTCCTGTGCCTGGCGCGGTGTCCTGTGCCCCTCTTGGGTGCCCGGCGCAGCATCTCAGAGCACCAAGAACTTGTGTTTGTACAAGTGCCCAGCACGGTGACAAGGGGGGACAACCCAGCATGGGCTGAGGTTATGGCCTTGGTGGGACCGGACCTAAGCCCCTCCTCCACCCCCAGTGCTCACCCTCTGCTGATGGTGGTTAACGGAGTTGGCCCAAGCTTTGCATCCCCACCGACATTTTCTTTCCATTCTCAGTAAAAGCGACGATGCCAATATGGGTGGTCCTTCTTTCGCGGATCATAATGAAGGAAAAGCAGACGACGAAGGTGCGGACAGGTTTGCTGAGGTTTCTTCTCTTGGTGGTGTTTGTGGTGTGCTCTGCTGGCTGGGATCAGGAAAGCTCAGGCTTTGCTTCGCTGGGTGAATTTGGTGATTTAAAGTAGATGATGCAGATTTTGCGAGTCCCTTTTCCTTTTATTGTAAATGTAAAGAAAACACGTCTAAACATTGAGCAAGGTGATGCTCTCTGGAGTTGCACTGGAGTTGTTATAGTGTGTATTGTAGTGAATTTATTCAACTACAATAGTATAAAAGCTGATCCCTGGTTCTGTTGCTTTATTCTTCCTTCTCCTTTCCTCCCCGTGTCAGCGCTATATATAAACTCAGTTGAAATGAAAATTCTTAGCAGATGTAAGCTACTTCTCTTGCTTCCTCTTTCAGGTGTACTTGTCTCTGATCCCCATAATAACTGGTGTCCTGTTGGCCACCGTCACGGAACTTTCCTTTGACATGTGGGGACTCATCAGCGCACTTGCTGCTACTCTGTGTTTTTCACTTCAGAACATCTTCTCAAAGAAGGTAACTACTTTTGCTGTTTGTAACATTGTTCAGTAGAATCATCCTTTAGCAGGGCGGTATGTGTTTTCCAGTACATACATAAATTTACTTTTTTAAGTTGACTTTATAGTCACAGGAGCCCAAAGTAATGGTCGGGTATTTTGTACGCCTGTTCCCTACAGCTCTTCCTACCTGTCAGAGTTGTTAAACTGAAAACTGGGCAGAACTCAAGAGTTTATCCTGAGCCTTTTCTTTACTCCTCAGCATGGATCGTTCTTTTAATTGACATTTCGATAGTGCTTAAATTTGATGGTTCATTTGAAAGCTTTTAATGCATCTTGCTGTATCAAATCCTTTCTCTGTAGTGAATGAGTCAGGGTCAACACTATGCGCTCCTTGACATTTCAGAAGCAAAGTTAAAATGTATGTCTTGAATCTGTTTAGTTACAGAATGATTTCTGGTTTGTGGAGCATTTTGAAATGTATTGCTGTCTTCTTAATACTAAGAGTCACCACGTGAGAAACCATTGTTTTTCAAATTAAGAACTGGTTTTCTGTGGTCATCCTTCTAGGAAATCCATACTGTAACAGTATTTGCTTATTTTCATAATCTATCTGTCATCTAAAGTTGTTACTGATACAGGGCTCCTGAATCTCTGCTGGTAACGTGGGCAGTAGCTGAAGAAAGGCTGTTTAATGATGTTTTTTGCCAGGTGTTAAGAGATTCCCGAATACATCATCTTCGGTTGCTGAACATACTTGGGTGCCATGCTGTGTTCTTCATGATCCCAACATGGGTTTTGGTAGATCTTTCTTCGTTCTTAGTAGAAAATGACTTGGTAAGCGCTGTCTTTTGGAAACTGTTTGCTATTAAGAAAGAAAAGGGTGAAAGAAAAAAACAAAACAAAACCCCCCACACCACCACCCATATTAAAAAGGCGCACTGAAGTGTTTCAGCGTAGTTCCTCATCATCAGGGAAGCAACTGTTGTGAAATACCTATAGAGTGTTTCACAAAACAGTATAAAAAAAAAAAGCATAGTGTTTATTCATGTCGGGGTTAGGAGAGGTAGCTTATGTGACCGTGTAAATCTCAGGATTCAGTAGCTGGAGAGGGGAACAAGTGCACCCAGGACGTGTGTTACAAGTATATAGAGATGTTTTCTCCAAGTTGGTAGTTGCGTAATGTAACATAGTCGGGTGCCTCTTTAGAGTTAAGTTGCAGATGTTCTTCCTATCAAAGGCAGGTAAGAAGTGACTCGAGTTGTATTTGTGTTTCTTTGTTTCTTATCTGAAACCTGAGATATTTTTTTTTTTCTTGTAATGTTTGTCTTTATAACAGAGCACAATGTCTCATTGGTCCTGGACCCTGATGCTGCTTATAATCAGTGGATTCTGTAATTTTGCCCAGAATGTGATTGCTTTCAGTATTCTTAACCTCATCAGCCCCCTAAGTTACTCTGTCGCAAATGCTACAAAAAGAATCATGGTCATCACTGTGTCCCTTATAATGCTTCGCAATCCGGTTACAAGCACCAATGTTCTTGGAATGATGACAGCTATTTTAGGGGTCTTCTTGTATAACAAGGTAAGGGGTTTCTTTTTCATTTGTTTATTCAGGAAACTCACTTGAAACAGTCTAGTAGCTTTGAATGATATTTTTTTTTTTTGTTTTGCACAAGATGTTAACAGCTAGCAGAACAAAAACGCAGAATGCGTGGCATACAACTTCATTGCAGGGGAGGTACGTGTATCACCTAAGCAGCGTGCTTGGGTGCGTTGGCCAGGCCAGCTGTTAGGTCTCTAACAAACTTGAATTTTGATCTTAATATTTTCTTGAAGATTGGGAAGTGACTCGCTCGAATCTCTTGAGGAAAAGAGCAGCTTCCTGATTTGGCGTATGCAAGGAATGAGGTTTTTACTGGGAGTCACTAAGATTTTAAGACTCTTTAACAGGCATAGATAGCAGTGTAATTGTAAAACTGTATGCTTTTTTCTAGGCATATGCAAGTGTTAGGGCATATCTAAGAAAAACTTTCTTTCTTTCCTAGACAAAATACGATGCAAACCAAGAAGCAAAGAAGCAGCTACTTCCAGTTACAACTGGAGACCTTGTCAATTTGGACCGGCATCGAAACACTCCTGAAAAGTCTCAGAATGGACTTGCGGCATTTGCACAACATGGAGACTATCAGTATGGTCGAACCAATATCTTGGCAGACCACTTCCAGTATAATCGGCAAAACTATCCAACTACCTACAACTTAAATCGTTTTGATATATAGAATCCTGGCAAACAGGTATAGACTGTGATATCAAAGTGTCCCCAACATTATCAGAAACTTTTAGTACATCCATGAATGTAAAGCCATTTTATTGTACAGGTTTTGCAGAAGGGAAGATGCATGTGTAGTGAAAGCAGTACAGACCTTCAACTTCTGCTAAGCAGACCTTTAAACCCGAAACAGCTAGGTCTGACACTGGAACTGAATGCGCAGTGTAGCTTTTGTACAGAGATTCTGGTGAAATGCACGTACAAAACTTCAGAGTAAAATACCTGCTGTCACTGCTCCTTTTCAGAGTCTGTCAACTGACTGTTCTTTTGGCAGCTAAATTCTGGCCAGTATTTTGCTTCCACGCTGGTAATGTCACCTTTAATTTGTTCCCTGATCTGTTGTAATGATACTTAGGTGAAACTTTCAGAAAGAAGTGAAACTAAGGCGTACTGGTTATCCGGATTTGTCTGCCTGAGGAGGATTGACTTGCGTATATCAGTTGCAGATAGGTAGACCTGAATTCATCTTGAGCAACTACGAAACTTCGTGTGGGTATTAATTACTTTTGTGCCTATGCCTTCAGTTTTTGATCACAAAACAGAAGTGTTTCTGAAAGAGTAGACAGTAGAAAGATTGATCTCTGAGAAACGTACTTCAGGCATAGAGAAACAGAATTCTCTAAAATCACTGTTGTCCCAGTCGCTCTAGATAACAAACGGAGCTTAAGATCATAATTGTTTTCTGAATAATATAGTCCTGTAAGTTCAGACATTGCTCTTCCTTGGCAATACAGAAAACACCTTCACAAATAAAGTATTTGGAATAATACAATTATTTTTTTTTACTTGTTTCACACATGTTCTTACAAAACTTTTGTTGCTTTAGAATTGAAAGGGTTAAGGTGTTTTCTTCTCAGTTTTATGCATAAATTTATGCTCTCTTATATGATTCATATATTATGAATGCATTGATTTGAATAATCATCATTCTTAATTGTTTCTTAAGTCTATCTTTTTAGCCCCTAATTGTTTTTTTTAAGTTTCTTAATTACTGCTATTGGAGTTGCTGTGCACATTTAGCCTGACTTCCACTTTCTGCTGAAAGAAGTTAAATTTTGTGTCCTGCTCTGCTCCTGCAACTCCCCTAGCTCGAATAGTAAATTGTTAAGAAAAAAAATAATGTTTGAGTCAGCAGTAAATAGATAATTTATGGTTAAGAAGAACTGATTCAGTTAGTATAAATGAACGTACTTAAGTGGATTTTTGTGCGTCAGGTACTGCATTTGTGCATGAAAGGAACGAAGCCAGTTGGAACTTGGGTTTCACTGAATCAGATTGTTACTGTTATTGCTTTAGCAGAAGAAAATTTTAGGGGCCTTCTTTCCTTAACAGAAAAACTGTTGTACAGTGAGATTTTTGATAGCATAAGTATTATGTTTTTACTAGAGAGGTATTAGATACCAGTGACAAAATTTAGGGTGTGGTACAGAACACTCCACTTATTTATTGCTTTAAAAATGACCATTTCTGTGATGTGAGATGGCGATTTGGCTCCTTTCTGGATAATAAAGACTTTAAGTGCAAACTCAACCTGATCTTATTCTTTTGGCTGACTGTGGAGGTAGTTACATAGAATGCCTTCCATCGTACAGTCCAAAAGAGAACATGGTCCTTCTGAAACTTCAGAGATGTGTTAAATATGCTGCTAATGTTGATGAGCAGAACTTCCTTGACTTGACTGGAGTTGAATCTGTTCATGCTAGCTTAGAATTTGGGCTTTTAGTTTAGAAAATCTAAATAAATTATTCCCTAACCCAGGTTAATGAGAACAAGGTAATGAGGAAAAGCATTCTTTCAGATGAAATTTCTTTTGCCTGTTCCAGTATTAATTTATGAATAATGATTTCTTTTTAATGTGGGAAAGTGCAAAATGTGTAGCTAAGGTTTGCTTTCCAATATTTAAGTGCTTTTACATAAATGTAAAAGGGATTGTGTGGACTCTGGATTTGGTTTAGGTTCTGGCTCTGCAAAAGACTGATTTGAGGATGAGATACTGAGGCTGAGATTTTTAAGTGGGGCTGAAGTTCTCTAACTGCTTTCAAAGGGAGCTAGCTATAAACTGTTAGACTCCTGCAAACGCTTAATTGTGTTCTTTGTACCTCAGTTTCCCATTTGGAAAATGGAAATGATTCTTCCCTACTTCATAGTGGAGGCCAATACCAGAAAAAAAGTAGCAGTGGGGGCCCCAAGGGATGTACAGGCATACTAGGAGTTCATCTGTACATCTTCTGGTATGGCCACCGCTGTGCCATCTTCATACAACCTGAACTGTTACTCAGAATAAAGCTCCGCATACTTTATTCACAGATCAGAGGCTTTATTAAATACATTTAGATGGTTTCCTTTTAAAGAGCATAACCAGATCTTTTTTGCAACTGTTTTCAGAGAAAGCTTGCACTGCACACTTCCTGTGGCAGCTCTTTAGCTCAGCTTTTTCCATCAAGAGTACGGTAGCAGGTGAGGTTTAAAACACCTAAATTGTGGTCTAGGCTTGTGGCCTCGCTGTGTCTGAAACAAATGTACTGTACTTGCAGGGCAAAAAGGGACCAACCCAAAATGAGGCTATCATCCGTTTAGGGCCTGGAGAGTGAATCTCTTTCCTGGAGACTGCCTGGCAGTGTTCCTGCTCTTCTAGTTCAGGTCTGCAGTCCACAGGCATAATTTTATATAGTAGAACATATAATTAAAACAGTTAAGTGAATCGGTTACAAAGAGGTGGTTTTGCTGAGTACCTGAATCTGAGTCCTTAAGCAATATTGCCCACCTTCAGGTAAAGGAAGTTTCTGATACTGTTGTAATATATATTTTAACTTGGGCAAAATTTTGTTTGGCAAGGTGAAACATTTGATTTAACATGGTTTGTAAATTAATGACGTATTTAACTATGTACATAGATCTGTAGAAAGTATGGAAACACTGGAATAAAAAGGGCATATCTAGACAATCGTGTATAATGACCCTGTTATTAAATCAAAGTGAAGGGGGTTGGTTTGGGTTTTTTCCTTGCAGGAAGCTTCGGGAGTGCCACACATTAGTAGTAATGGCCATTTGTGAGAAATTGGGTTAATGTTTTGCTGTATGGGTGCGATACCTTACCGTATGGTTATGTAGACTGAAACTGCGATGATTTGGATGCCATAACTAGTGTTAGGACACTACTGACTGGTATCCTTAGAAATGTTTTGATTGCCACCATGCATTTCTAATATACATGTAAATACATCACAAAATTGAGAAATTCTTCCCCAAACAGTCCTGGATAGTTCTAGAAATACCAGTGTGAAAGAAACCAATCTCCCCCCACTACCTGTGGGGTTTCTGTTGATAGCTCTGTAGAGTATTTGGTGCTCTTTGAAGATCTCTTGAAAATATTTCCCTTGCAGTTTTGATTTTCATACCCAGTAGTGATTTGAGCATCTTTATCATCTGGTAAAATGCTTGTGTTTTTTAAATACCTGAATGCTAAATAAAATTGAGGCAATACTTAGGCTTCGTAGGTGTACAGTGACTTGTAAAAATAGTGTTGGTAATTTGGGGTCAACTCATGATGATGCCTGAAGCTCAAGACCTTTTCTTTCTCATGTGTGTTTAAGCCCACATTTTTCTGATGTAGCATTTTGCAGCAGAAGAAACTTCTGCCATGTAGCTATTTGTGAAAAAGGTGCAATATAAATAAAGGGAAAGTTTTGTTTTTTCTAAGGCTTCCATTTCTGAACTATGTTGTAAGCTGTTAAAAATAATTCTGGGATATCTTTGTGGTGATGGTACAGGCTGGTATAACAAATTTGTTAATCCTGAGATCCCAGGTGTATGATACAATCACGTTATGTAGATATGCAAGTGCAAATACGCAGGTGGCAGTCACCACCCTTTTTTTTGTTTGTTTTTTATGTTGGTACTCTACAAATGGATGTGAATATGGGTGATTTTACAAAAAAACCCTCACGCTCCTTACGGCATGACATCTGGCACTTAAGCAAATGAATGCTTTTGTATTGTTTTTCTGTTCTTACCTCATCTCTATCGTTCTGTGAAGTTCTGGATGTTGCTCAGCCGGGATTGCCTGTGATGCACCTCTCCAGCCTGTCGATGCTGCTACTGAAGCTGGGATCCCTTACGGGATGACGGGAAGAATCCACACTGGTGACTTCCAGGTACTGGGACTCTTTCCTGTCTCAAATAAATCAGGTCTTCAGATGGATTTTGGTGGACACCTCTGTCAGGTAACTGTAGCTTTTGGGGCATTTTGTGGATAAACCATTGTGGTGTGCTGAGGAACGTGGCAGCCTGGATGGTGACTGCATGGGCTCCAACATGTAAAGCAGTAACGTTTGTGTTGGGATGGAAGGCAGCAGCAAGAATCTTGAAAAGTTTCTTATTTTTAAGTATGAGCTAAGATTTGAACTTAATCTGGTCTGCTGGGAGCTGTGTTAAATTTCCAGGACTGCAGAGTGATGTAGAATCATGACCAGACTCTGTATTTATTATTTTTTTTCTTGGTGTTCATTTGTTATGTGGATACGTGGAATCAGCCATCTTTCTGAGGTTTTATATTCTGTAGATAATATAGTGGGGTCTTCATGGTATGTTAAGAATAAAAAGTTCTGCCTTTTTGTGAGGATGTCTGTGAGTGTTATCTGTGTGAAGTGTAATTTAATGCCTGAAATGTAAGACAGCGATTACAGCTCCAGATGAGTGTTAGGGTCCTCAGGTTTGCTTTTGGCCTTTTAAAATTCCCATATAATCACTTCCACTTGTAGATTCAGTTTTCCTAAAATTTTAAGACACCAAAATTATTTGGGCCCCACTTTTGAGTTTCCATGTCTATTTCTCATGTAAATGGCCTTCAAGTGTGGTGGGGTTTTGTGGGGTTTTTTGAATTGTGTGAGTAGAAGGAGTTGAGCAGTTTCTGCCGTGCCTTGTACCTCTTGACTAGGGTATGAAGCCGATCGGATGAGTGCCTTGCTTTTGAAGGAACACTTTCCTGGATCGAGCAGGTATGTAAATGGTGAATTTTTAATCCCATCTTGAAAGAGTATCAGGTGCAAAAGAAACACCAAGGTAAGAACCAGAAATGATTTTAACATTGTAGTTTTAACTGCATAACAAAATGAAGTCACTTAAGGAAAGCAACAGTGCTTGCGGATTACTTAAAATGTCCCTGCAGGGCATCTCTGCTTTCTTTCCTTCACAAGCGTATTTTCCGTTCACCCTGTACTGAGCATCCTACACATGCATGTTCCTTTTTAAACCATGCCAGTGGTCTATGTAGCTTAAGTGCTGCTGCAATGGATTGTCCCCGAAGATGAAACAGATGTTAAATGACATGCTTTCTCTTAATGCTCTCTATTAATTCCTGGCAACTAAATTGCAGCTTGGATGTGGCGTTTTAAAAGTCGAGGAACCATGACCGATCCGGCAGCTCTGCTGCGGGTCCTCGGGGAGCCGAGTGGCAGAGGACGAGGTCTCGCACGCTGCATCCCAGCAGCAGCTTCTCCTTCAGGGCCCGGCCAAGGCGATGTGCGTGCAGGCCTCGGCTGCA